ACAGCGCGCTCCTGCATCTGAAGACATGCAGAATTGCGGTGCCAGATGCGGGATTCTTGCGCGGGCGGTGGGAGTTTGGGTTTTAGTGGGTAGCCCAACACGCTTCGGTGGGGTCCCACACTCGGGGAAGGTAGTATAGAGACTAGCGCCCCCGGCCAGTGCATAACGCATCTCCCTCTCCTACGAAAAAAAAATAAAATAAAAAAAATGAAGGGATGTACATATCTGCTACCAAAGGACCCAAAAGATACGAAGAACCCTTCTAAGTATCGCCCCATCACGTGCCTATGTACCCTATATAAAATTCTTACATCTTGTTTAGCCGAAAAAATATGTACTCATCCTGATACGCACCACATTCTAGCCATCGAACAAAAAGGATGTGTTAAAAACAGCAAAGGCTGCAAAGAGCAGCAAGCATACCATAATCAAAGAAATATTTATACATCTTATATTGACTTCAAAAAAGCCTTTGACACTGTTCCGCATTCTTGGCTTTTTGTGGTTTTAGACATTTATAAAATATCGCCGAACATAAAACGTCTTATGCAGCAACTTATGAACTCATGGAAAGTTACTTTAAAACTATTTCATAATAAAGGACTCATAAAAACCGCTCCCATACCTATTAAAAGAGGTATTTTCCAAGGAGATAGCTTGAGTCCGATATGGTTTTGTCTGGCGTTAAATCCACTTTCTTCGATACTAAATGCGTCAAACTACGGCTTTAGTTTAAAAGCACCGCGTGTATCGCAATATAGACTTTCACACCTACTGTACGTGGATGTTATAAAGCTATATGCTGCAAATGAACGTCAAATGAATACGCTACTGGAACAAACAGAAGATTTTTCAAATGATATAAAAATGTCGTTTGGAGTAGAAAAATGTCGAAGATTAAGTGTGGAAAATGGAAAACTTATAAGGCGAGAATTTGAATTAATGACTCATGAAACTGTAGACTCAATGACAGAAGGCGACACATATAAACACCTTGGTATTTTACAGGCTAGGAGGATGCAGCACAGTGAAATAGTTTGAGCCGTAACTAGTGAATACCTCCAAAGAGTAAAGAGCTTGCTGAAATCATGCTTGAATGGGAATAACCTTTTTAAAGCCATCAATGCATTTGCGATACCGGTTTTAACATACACCTTTGGTGTAGTAAAATGGTCCGAAACAGAACTGGAAAACGTCAAGAGAGCAACAAGGACATTGTTGACAAAGTATGGCACGCATCACCCAAAATCGGCAGTAGAACGTCTCTACTTGCCACTTCGACAGCAGGTCGAGGGATGGTAGACATTAAGCAATTACATAATAAGTGTAAACAGAGCCTTCGTTTATACTTCCACAACCAAAAGAACAGCCTACTCCAAACCGTGTGCAAAGCCGATTTAAAATATTCACCATTAAATCTTAGTGACCTTTCTGCAATCGAATTAATATCAGGAACGCAACATATCCAGTCGCTAATGCAAGACTGGAAAATGAAAGCGGTTCATGGTGCATGTTCTAGACGCTCCTGAAGTAGATAACGCTGCTTCCAACGAATGGTTAATTCACTCCGGTATCTACGCCGAAACTGAAGGATTTATGATCGCTATACAAGATCAAGTTATTGCGACTAGAAACTACTCGAAATATATTATGCGTGCTTCCGTTGAAAACGACCTATGCAGACGATGCCAAAAGCAAACAGAAACCATCCACCACATCACAGGAGCTTGTGACACGTTAGCAGCCACCGAATACTTAACCAGACATAACCAGGTGGCAAAAATTGTACACCAGAGTCTAGCGATATAACATAAGCTAGTAACGGAAGAGCTGCCGTACTTTAAATATACTCCAGACGCTGTAATTGAAAACAGAACGAGCAAGCTATATTGGGACCGATCAGTTTTGAGGAATCGTCCAATGCCACACAACAGGCCGGACATAATAGTGGTCGAAAAAGAAGTGAATCATGCGTTCCTCATAGATATAGGCGTACCAAATACTCACAACCTTCAAGATTGTTATATGGAGAAATACAGAAAATACCAGAGCTTAACATACGAGATCAAGGAATTGTGGAAATTAGAAAAAGTAGAGGTGATTCCAGTTATAATTTCGACAACAGGAGTTATTCCAAAATCATTGAACACTAGCCTGGAAAAATTCAACATGGTAGAAAAGCGAGGGGCCATACAAAAATCTGTGATATTATCTACATCATCGATAGTTCGTAAATTTCTGAATATGAATTAGCATTAAGAAACAGAAAAACTTGCAACTGTGTAGTATTAGGCGTGTTTTATTTGAGCGCGGTAAGCTAATAGCTTAATCTGGGTCAAATAAAACGAATCTAGCTTAATTTGTCATGACTTAGTTATAAATTATGCTGGCAACACCTGATATGTGTGTGCTGGCAATACTGTATGAGTTGTAGAGGTGGGTAATGGCACAATTTTTTGTGTCTTGACACAGTAGCACATGCACACAATGAAGTGTTAACACACTGTGTTGGCACAATTGTGTTATTGCTACCTATTCAAAATCGATCAAGAAACTCCATGACAAGGCGAATTTATACATTAGGCTATATGCATAAAAACTAAGCAAATGCTTTTTCTTAAAATTTCACACCTTTTACTGGATTTGTTTAAATAAATTTAAGTCAAGCGTATGGAATTTTAAGAAAAAGCAATTGCTTAGTTTTTATGCATTCGGCCCATTATGTATACATCCGCCTTGCTCCATGACTTATCGCTCGAATTTGCCATTTCCTTGTGTTTTGCGATCACACAGCACAGTGTGCTATAGCCATTGCACTGATACCGAGAGCTGAGTTATTGGCGCTGATACTGATTTTCACAACTCAGTAACCCAATGGCGCCAGCAACACCAGAACACAGACAACACCGGGCGTCGCCAAGAACCAGCAAAGAACACACAAAAGAGAAGTGTCACTTGTAAAATGTGCAGCACAAGGTGAATTTTTACAAGGTGGTTTTGCTAGAATTAGCCGCGGTCCTTCTGAATATGAAAATTATGTGTTTGTTGTATTTTTGGGTTTTGAACTTGGGTATACTTGAGTTGTTTTTTTTCAACCGATCCCACCTTGTATTAATTCACCTTGGCAATAAAGGAAATGAGCTTTAGCCTGAAGAGGCGCAATTGCGCCAACACACTGTGCTGATTTCGGCAGTGGTGCTGGAATTAGTGTGTCAGCACCAAAAAATTTGCGCCGCTACCCAGGCCTAGTGCATTTTTCAAAAACGAGCACGGTTGTGTCAAATTATCGCCTGTTTTGCTTTGTTTACATAACCGCGTATACATACACATACACGTAAATATATACCCTGCAAACAAATGTTCCCGAAATCTTTAATACCTTGTCCCCACTGGAGCTAACCACGTAGTTATGACTGTTGAGTTGGTTGTCCCGATAACCCACTTGATTTAGCGTAGTTTCGCCATATATAAATGACAGCACTTAACCATTTCACTGAGATGGTTAAAAGCTAACCAACTCGAAACCACGTCGAAAGTCTGATACAACCCTGTGTTTTCCCCCCATCTGTCGGTCATTAGCGTTAAAATTTAAAAAAATTTGTCCCCTACTAGTGTTTGGAGTTGACTAAGAAGAGATTAGATTTACAGCGATTTTTGAAAAAATTTTAAATCTACTTCTCTACTGCGCTTGATTTCAAATCTATTCCGTTTTTTTCTTTCATGTTATGCCCCTCTTAGGGCCTTTTTTTTGAGTGTTCACCACCGGTTTCAGTAAAAAATTGAAAGTTAGCCAAATCTCACTGTTAAACAGTAACTCTTTCATAGCAATGCGTCAATAAAGTAATTTCATTATTTCTTTTTATGTATGGCTGTAGAAACTGGCGGATGCAGAACTTTACTTAAGTTGCTAAAAAATATATGTAGAATGAAATTTATATCAAGTAGAAAAGGTTTAGATCTTTTAGGAATCTTTAAAGAAAAACATATGAAGCGGTTGACAAGAACTGGTAACAAAATTTCTGTACGATTTCTTAAAGAAAATTCTTTAAAAAAAATCTGAAACCATTCAGAATACTCTGAAATCCTGGTATGCAGAGTATACATATACATACGAATATGAATACATAAAGAAGCTGTAGTTGACACAACGAGTTCATACCAACGGTAAATGTTGTTTTTGTACGATTGATACAACCTGTAGTTGTTGAATCATGGCCTAGTGTGCTAAAAACACTGCCCAGGATGTAATTTAATATTGTGCCACGTGTGCGACTGTGATATAATTTAATCGAAAATTGCGCCTGTGCGTGCGTCAAATTGACGAATGTCAGCACAGTAGCACAGCACTGTGCTGTGTTACACATCTCTAATGAGTTGTCAATTTAGAAAAATCTTTAACGATGACTGACACGGGAAAAAGGTTATTTTCATAATTTTTCATAAATGAATTATTATTACTTTTTTTGTTTAATTATAGCAAGAGAAAAGTATGGACGAGGGCGGAGACGCTCCTTTTCCTCAAATGCTATGCGGAAAGGAAGAAAGAATTTCTTCATGCACGTAAAAAAAAATATGCATATCAAAATGTTTTGGAAGATATGATTTTCCAAGGTTTTGTGGTAAGAATTGTGCATATTTAATTTAATATTAAATTACCTACATATTTGTATTTTAGGATACAACGGTTACCACAGACGCACTTTTTGCGAAAATGCGTACGCTTTTAAAAGCCTACAAGTCTGCCAAAGACAATGAAAGGCAAACAGGAACTGCTCCTCGCACTATACCATATATGACAGAAATGGACGAAATTTTTGGTGAGAGTTGTTTGGTTGTAAATAATCATACCATTAACATAGGAACAGATCCTCAGGAGGCATTAATAGAAACATGTAGTAAGTTGAAAGACTTTTTCGTACTGTGATATAAAATTGTAACTGAATTTTTTTTTTCTTTTAAAATTAGCAATCGAGCTGTTAAGAGACTCAACTAGGGTTTCGCCAATCCCTGAACCGAGCACCTCAAGTCAGTTTCAAGAACTGAGTACCTCCACGCAGTCGCTGAACACACCAACGCGAAGCCGCAACTTACAGCCGAGTACGCCCGCTGCGAGCACACGTGTTAGAAAAACGGCCAGGGATCGTTACTTTGAAAATAAACTTGAGCTGAAGAGAAGAAGCTGTGAGGAGAAAGAAAAATTCCATGCAGATATTCAGCGTATGTTGCAAAATTTAGAGAAGAAGCGTGATTTGCAGCTAGAGTTGGAGGAAAAAAACTTAAAATAGAGGAGGAAAAGTTAAAACTCCTACAACATTGCTGCGGAGATGATTAGAAAAGAAAAAGGTTAAATATTAAAAAAGACAAAAAAGTAAATAAAAAAAATTAAATATAGTTTGGCTACTATTCAAATAGAATTCCGTTTATTTTTTCAACAAAACATGTATGGATTGTAATAAAATACAATTGAATCAACTCAAGCTTAAGCTCAAACATTTCCTCTTAATAGCTGAATAAATAACTCATTACTCATTATGTCACTTTCGCTCACAGAGACTGGTTCTAATTCCACACTTTCACTTCACTTTCACTTTCACTTTCATGAAGGTGTCGTCGTTTTTTAATATATTTATATTATGCATAATACATGCGCTCGCCACCAAATGTGTTACAGCGCATAAATCTTTATGCTCTGTAAACTTAAGAAGTCTGCGAAAACGACCTTTGAGTAAGCCGAACGCGTTTTCTACAACAATTCTTGCCGACGAATGAATTTTGTTTAATCTGATTTGTTGTTCTGTTAGTGAACCATAATCTTTGAATACCGTAGTAAATGTAGAGTTTGGAAACAAATTTTCAACACTATTTTCTGCTTTCCTATAAGACGCTGATCTCTTGAGTACTCTGAAGTCATGGTAGGACCCAGGCTCGCCGCAATAAATATCAATGAACTTCATATCGGCATCGACAATTTCCTGTAAAACTAAGCTGTAATTTCGTTTTCGATCAAAATATATATGCTTATCTTTTTTTGGTGCGTTAATAGTTATATGTGTGCAGTCTATTGCACCAATGACACCAGGTACTTTCTTTCTTTGCAAAAACTTTCTCGTGGTATCTTCCACTGCTTTTCCAGTTGGCCACGTGATAAACTCGTATCCTATTGAAATGATCCACGCAACAACGCGACGAACAATTGCCCATGCAGTGGATTTCGTTACACCAAACAAGTTAGCAAGTTGTCTGTAGGTTATGGTGTTGCTTAGGTACCATATGTACATATATATCATTGTCTTTGCAGGTATTTTGGGCTTTCCAGACATTGTACGGCTGTGATTTTGATCGTTTTCATTATACCTCGCTTTAGAAATATAACACTGTTTCAGTAAAAATTTGTAAAACGGAAGAAACCCTTACTTATTAAATAATCCACTGTTTTTCGATTCAGGCGAAAATGGGACTTGAAATCCTCATCTGCATACTCATCGATAACGTCGATGAAACCGACAAATTTTGGATGCTCTACCTGTTCTTCCTCAGAATCGTCCCCCGATGAACTAGCTTCAGCAGCTACATCAGCTAGTATTTCTATTATTTCTTCATCATCCGCGTAATGTATACTGGAAGAACTACAGAAAAACTAGAAATTGGAAAGTATGCAAACTTGGTTTGGTTTAATTATAAAACAATACTTACTGCATCTTTAATTAAATTTGGCATTTTCAACTTACACCAGTTGTGTATATGTTTGGTTAATCCATATTTTGTCGAAGGCACAAAATTTACACGCGTTTCTTTTATACTCTATTTTTGTCTATCTTTTTTTTGTTTACATTTTCATCTATCAAAATGGTGTATATCGTGAACGACAACTTTTTTTTGGCAATAAAGTGTGAATAATCCAACTACCGTGAATGAAAAATATTAATCAACTGGCAATGCCGCTAGTTCAATATACAAGCCAAGATAGCTTGTCACAAGCCAATATAATTATGTTGGCTAGGTCTTCCATACAAAATAAGCTAATAGCTTATATAACTGGTCAAATCAAACACGCCTTAAGTAGTTTCGACTTAGTTTACGATATAGCAAAACGAGTGTGAAAATGTATCGATTTTTTTAACGATATTTTGGAAAAATTACATTTTTATTAAATAATATCAAGTTTGATCATCCGTTTATGTAATTTTTATTTTCATTGCATGATTTTGCAAAAGAATAAGGTACCATTTTCTTGTTAATTGTGTGAAATAGCCAGAACAACCGCAGTGATGTGAAGTCTATGTTTATCGAAAGCATGCTGTGGAACATACAAATAGTAAATATCTAAATGATATGCACAAATTTACTTTAAAAGAGCTAGCGTGAAACTGACTTATTATTTGAAAATTTATCTAAATTATTCCAATTATAAAATTGTGATGTAGCTTTATTCGAATTGTAATACGCATTTAATTTCATCTTCCGATTAAAATGGATCGATCTTTGTAAATTTTAATTGGAGTTTATTCAATGTTATCAAAATCACCCTCTACCAACTTAATTTTTACATATTTTTTTTTCGTAGGAGAGGGAAATGCTTTATGCACTGGCCGGGGGCGCTAGTCTCTATACTACCTTCCCCGAGTGTGGGACTCCCAC